CGCATCCCCGCCAACATCTGTCGTTTCCTGACTTGTTAATTTTAGCCATTCTGACTGGTGTGAGGTGGTATCTCATTGAGGTTTTGATTTGGATAGAAATCTTTATATAATAAGCCCTAAGTAAACTCTGAAGGTAGTGATGTCAGCCAGTAATACATTAAAATATCTTCCTGTAAATTTCCTTCATATACAATCAATAATTGGAGTATGCAGTTTTTACATTACAGTACATTGGAACTCATACTGAGACTGGCAGTTATGTTTCTAATTCAGACATTAAAAACTTTAAAATAGCACCTTTTTAGGATTTCTAATTAAAGGTTAACAGTTTTTTGATGAAAGGGTGCATTCTTTTAATTATTTTTCTACTTAGTTGCTAGAAATAAGAATCTGAAATCTCCTGTTAAGTTTATTTCTCCTGTTTACACATTCCTGAAAATATGCAGTTTATCTTCCATAGAAAGGAAAACCTTTTGGTACTGGTGTATTCATGCAGAACACAGTGTATCTGAGAATCATTATAAATAAAATGAAACCTGTCCTTATGCCTATTATATATACAAGTCTATATTCCCAGTAGGATTCTGATGGCAATTACTGTCTCATTAGTGAACAGTAAAAGAAAAATTGTTGTATTAACACAACCTACCACTGTGAAGAAGAAAAGAATTACTCCACAACCAAGAGATTCATATATATTAACATCATTAGCAATATTGTATGGATTTTGAAATATTGTTGTGCTATTTTAAGTGAAATTACAAATAAAATCCATCAGTTTATTGGAATCATCTTAGCATTAATCTACAGAAGTAAGCATAAATTTCAAGAGGCATTCAGCCCTCCCTTTGTAAGTTTTAGCCGTACTTAGATCATCAGACCAAATGCTGACTATATCCTTATTGCTTCTCTACCCTAAAGCTAATTCTGGGCATCATGATTCTGCTAATTGGAGCTGTGTGCTTGTGTGCTTTGCTTATCGAAGCTTTATAGGAAAATGTAGATCTGAAGAGGATTTGAGTTGGGTAGACTAGGTGGTATTTAAAGGAGAATTTTGGCTATTGAATTCTTAGTGTTTAATTTTAAATTTTGAGTGATTTAATTAAAGTACTTGAGAATTTAACTTTCAGGTCTTTCCTAAATTAAAATTATTATTTAAAGAATTATTTTGTGCATATATTTTGTGCCTGTATGTAGAAATGGAAAAACACGTACAAATGTAAAAAGTGGGCCCTAAAGTTGATGTAAATCAATGTTAAATTTTTTGTAAGTTGCATTTTGTTTAAATATATTATGTTCCTGACACTACCTTTTAGTATATGTTAAATAATACTATTTTACTGAAAACAAAAATGGAAAGGTACCCAAGGTACCCCAGTCAATTTCTTTTGCTATCTAAAGCAGAAGTTCTAAGGAACTTGGGATGTAACTTCACAGGGTAGTAATTTAACTTGAGGCAGCTGTATCAGAATGCAGTGAAACAATAATGAGCAAAGCATAGCCAGACACTAGAAAAATAACCCTAAAGTTACGAATGTACAAGTAGAGAGGATTTGTGTGTATGTGGAATATGCCATCTTACTGATAATATTCAAGATTTTTAAGTATAAGAATTAAAATTAAAACAGACTTTTGTGTTTGCCTCTGGTGATTTTTACATTACACAAAAATCCTCATTGCATTTTTACCCTTGCCCGAATATAGTGTATAGGTTGTCTCTGGACTAAAAGTCTGTGTTCTCTGAGAAATCAATTAGAGGTTGAGTTGATCAGTGTTTTTGTTCAGCTTTCCCTATTAATCACTTTTGTCAATTTTTAGTTCAGAAAGACATCAATTATAGGTAACAAATTTATGGGCTTTTGTTTTTTCGAAAGGGTTTTTTTTTTTTTTTTCTTAAAACTTTGTTCTGATAGAAACGCTGATCCTCTTTTTTTCCCCCTTTCTAAATCAGTTTTATTGTGACATAATTTATATACAATAAAATGTATGTATTTTAGTCTATGTTTCTATGAGTTTTGACAAATGCTTGCAGTTTTGTTACCACCACCACAATCAAGATACAGAACATTGCTACTACCCTGAGAAATTTCCTCATGCTCCTTTGTAGTCAGCACCTTCCCAACCCCAGTCCTTGGCTGTCATTAGGTCTGTTTCCTGTACCTATAATTTTGCCTTTTCCAGAATTTTGTGTAAATGCAATCATTATATTATGTAGCTTTTTGAGTGTGGTTTCTTTCACTTGGCATAATGCATCTGAAATTCACCACGTTGTTCTGTGTATTGGTAGTTGATTCTTCTTATTGCTAAGTAATATCTCACTGTATGGATATACCACTGATAGTTTATCCATTCACCAGTTGAAGGACATTTGGGTTGTTTACTTGTTTTGGTGATTATGCATAAAGCCACTACAAACATTAACATGCATGTTTTTGCAGAAACATGTTTTCATTGCTTTTGGATTAAATATCTAGAGCTGGATTTGTGGGTCATGTGTTGAGTGTCTCTTTAATTTATAAGACACTGCCAAACTAGATTTTCAAGTGATGGTTTCTTTCTAGCAATTGCATATCACCATACTTCCTAGTAATACAGTCAAATTTACCTGCTGCTTTTGACATCATTGATCATGAGTTGACTGTGGCCTCTTTCAAATAGAGGAAAATTAACAGTTTAGAGTGATTATTTTTGTCATTGTGATTTTATTATTTGTGTAATAGTATGGGTTCAGTGCTTGGATTTACAGCTGTACATATCTGTCCCTGAACCTCTGTGGATATCATGGAAAATTCTGCCTTATCACCATCTTAGGTTGCCCAGAGACATATTTAACTTAATCACTGTTGCTTTGGTTCTTTTTGCATTTCTTATATTGCCAGACACCAATGTTTATGAAGTAGTTCCTGGAGCTACTTCTTTTCTGATTTTAAATTATAGCAATTATTAAACTTCAGACTGAATGACAGGAGGGCTTACATGGCTGATGAACTATTTCTCAATTTAGTTGACTGAAATTACTGAGAAATTATCTGGTGAAGCAGCACATCTCATTGCTCTGGCCTGGTCTGCATCATCTCATTATCAGTAATATATAAAACGCTTTGGTAAGACTGAGGTGAGATATTTCCCAAATGATAAATGATACTTATGGCTAATTATGCTGATTGTTTGATACTCTGTATAGGGGATTATGTAGCAAAGGAAAGGACTTCGACTCAGATAAGGAGTGCAATATCTGGTTATAGGGAAGATTAGTAGCTTAATAGCTTATAGATTTATTTGATCAGAATTGCTGATCATAGCTATTATAGCACAATAGCTTGTGTTTTCACTCTCTTTATAAGGTAGATGCTACTAGACTGTCTTTGAAAGGTCAAAGAGTTGATATTTCCATTCTTGAAAAGTTAAGTTTTGTGAACCTTCAAAGCTGTTCTTGTTTTTTATTTCATACACACACACAGAGGAGGGAATGAAGGAAGACCTTAAGTTCTTTGAGATGTGACCCGATTGAGAATTACATTAAACTGGAATGTAGATCACTCTTTCTTCAGTTTTTAATTCCTTTAGACAAAATGTTTGTGTATGATTGTCTTTCTCCTAAGGAATCCAGGCTTATTTTTAAGTGGTACGAGAACATTCCTCCCAATATCCATGGACAGAGGGAACATTGTCATATGAAATTGTCCTTATTCTTCTTATCATTTAGTCTCTATCAGCCAGATCATGATCCTCCATCTTCAGTAAGGAAACATCCTCCTCTAAAATAAAGTTTGCACTGGAAGGAGAATCTAAAGGTAGAAAAGGTGTCTCATCTAATTGCTCTGATTCTGCTTTGCCTGCCCCCAACCTTACATCTCCTTGGGTGTGGTTGATTTGACACTCTCAAATAAATAAATAAATAAATAAACCTTAAAAAAAAAACTGAGAAAATAAACTTCCAGCTGAGCCCTGTAACACCATTCATTATAGTCTAAGATTTCTCATGTATTTCCATGATCAGCTCACACAATATATGGGTGGTGACATTTCCCCTAGTAAAACTATAAAAGAGTACTGTAGGCTACATAATAATCTATAGGGGCCTCAGTTTTATTATCTGAAAAAAACTTAAAAGTTGAACCTCTGTCTGTTGTGTAAGACTGTAAGTTAATTTCTCAAGGAGGCAGTAAGTTGTAGGTTTGGTGTTTCCAACTACAGTTACTCTTTTTCATAAAATATTTTGAAAATGTTTTGACTCTTCAGTTAGAATAATATAAAAATAAAACATCACATAATCAACTGTTGCCCTGTTTAAAGAAGGGCAAACATGGCAACAGTCAAGGTGCAAAGTGTTCTGTGCACTAATGTTGACACATTAAGCAAACGCCTAAAATCCTTCACAGATGACCCACTGTTGGATGAATATTTTAAATTATGGCTATTATTTTTAACTTTTATTTGTACATTAATAGTTTTGCTTTATTCAAAGATGCTAGCTGTTATTAGATACTCTCTGCTAATTGTGTGTAGTTTTAATGGTTTTCTATGATAATAAATAAGACTTTGGTTTTTCCTGTGGGGGTGCCATTGGTTTGTTATTAAATGGTTTAGCAACTAGTAACAGAGAATTGAGACTATGCCATGTATTCCTAGGTAAATCACAATTGTTAAAGGCTGGTTTCATTATCTCTTAAATGAGTTCTCACTAATTAATCCCCTTCTTCAGAGTGCTATAAGGCACAGGACATTGGATCATTTTTCTGACTGGCCTTCAGTACCATGTATTACTTTCACCCACACCCAGTGGATATTTTCTCTTAGTTGTAGAATTATTAGTAGGTACTCTTCATATACAAGGTAAAAGCTCTGAGACAACTCTGAGGCATTGGAGTATAAATAGCAATGTGTAGTCCGTTCAGGCTACTATAACAAAAATACCAAAAACTGTGTAGCTTATAAACAACAGAAACATTTCTCACAGTTCTGGAGCCAGGGAAGTCCAAGATCAAGTCCAGATTTGGTGTCTGGTGAGGACCTGCTTTCTTGTTCATGGACAGCACCTTCTCACTGTGTCCTCACATGGTGGAAGGGGCTAAGGAGTTCTGTGGAGTCTTTTATAAGAGCACTAATCCCATTCATAAGGGTTCTACCCTCATGACCTAATAAGCACCTCCCAAAGATCCAACTTTGGGCCATACCCTGTTTTTGTGAATAAAGTTTTATTGGAAAACAGGCACATGCATGCATTTACTTACTCTCTTTGGCAGCTTTCCTGCTACAAAAGCAAAAGAGGCCCACAAAGCCTGAAATATTTACTATCAGGCCCCTTATAGAAAAATGTTTGCTGAACCTTGGTTTGGAAATTGTTTAAGAGTTATGTCAGAATTTTCCTGTCATCTTTTATTCCAACCACTCAGAGTGTTTATGTATGAAGAGATAAGAGGGGTAAAGAAATGACAGAACAAAAATGTAGTATTCAAGTACTGGCACCAACTTATTTCTCTCCCTTATGTTAATTTACCTATTTCTTTGCTATGGGTTTCCACTTCCCCCTGATACCTGTAGTTCTCTGTGTTGGGAAATAAGTGCAGCTGACTGGCCTGTGGGAAAACAGTATATTTTTCTCAATGGTGGAAATTTACTGTAGGAACGAATCTTGGATGTTAGGGACTAATTGTTGAATTTCACAGTCTTAATAGAAAATAAAGAATGAGAACCAGCATCAGTGAGCATCAATCTTTATGAAGAATTTGATTCTCTTCTTATGATTTTGTGTAATCCTATGATGAAGTACAAGTAAGTTAAACTTCCAAATGTTGTTTGTTTTATAGGTCTATAATGACGGATCTATACTACCTCAGTCAAACAGATGGAGCGGGTGATTGGCGGGAAAAAGAGGCCAAAGATCTGACAGAGCTGGTCCAGCGGAGAATAACATACCTTCAGGTAAGAAAACTAGGTAAAGAAAGAAACATAAATGAAAAAAGAAGGAAAATCATAATAAGACTAAGAGTTGCTGTTGGTTTTTAGTCTTCCTAGCCCTTTTTTTTTTTTTAAGTATTTACTCATTTTACATATTTGTTCAGAAAGATGCTGTATTATGTCTTCAGTGCAATACAAAGATGTCTAAAACAAAGCCTCTGCTTTAAAGGAGCTACTTCTTACACACACACACACACACACACACACACACACAACAATGCAAAGTAGGAAGGGGTACATTTTACGTGAGACATACAGATGAAATGCTCATTGAAGGAAGAAATGTCAGGGATAGCTTTGTGGAAAAGGTTTTTGAATTGAGCTGAAAAGGACAATTGGATAGGATTTAGACACACCGAAATGGAAAAGAGTGTACTAGCTGGAGCCTATGATATGAATAATGGTCCATAGTTGGGAAAGAGCAGGACAGGAACCCATTGAGTAATGGGACATTTTAATTTGTCTGGAATTTTGGGTTGTGTAAACAGGTGGGGTGTAAAATAAGCTGGAAAAGGTAGGTTTGGGAGCCAGATTGCAGAGGTCCTTGGGTGCAGGTTAAGCTTTATGGTGCATAAGCAGCAAGTGGTTGCTAAAAGATTTTGTTTCATAAACATCATTATAACAGCAAACAGCCACAAGTCCCAGGCCCTTTTACATTTATTCTCGTCTTTTTTTTGTGTTTTCTTCTAACTCTTATTACTATGCATACTCAATCTTACATATTTGTAAGAACAGAATTGATTTACTTTTTAAATTCTGGTTTTTTGCTTAATATGTCATAAGCTTTTTTCTATTTTGGAACCACATCCCACTTTTGAAAGATTTTTACACTCAAGAGCAGCATGATGAGGGTGGTACTATTAATCTGTATTATTTTGGCTGAACTGGATTAGTATTGGAAGAGACTAGAAGCAAGGAAACCATTTAGAAGGTGAGGACCACCCTGCAGGTGAGAAATATGGAGGTATGTGGCAGTTTGCATTGGAAGTGAAGAGACAAAGTTGAGAGAGACTGGGAAGGTGGAACTGATAGGCCCTTCCAAGTGGGTGAAACAGCTCAAGTGACCAGGATGATAGGTGCATTGTTATCTGACAGGGAACTTAAAGAAAGAATAGTGTTGGGGTAAACAATGAGTTAGAAGTAACTTCATTCAAAATGCTGGAAGTTGAAAACCATGCCCATCCTTTTCTAATACTATCAATGGTATATTTTCTGTGTACAGTCACTCTGCTTTCCTTCTAAGGTTAAAGTGTCTTGTAAAATTAAAATAATAACAGTGACCTAATTCTCTATATTTCAAGGTGCACATTTTCCTACACTTAAATAGGAAAAAATAGAAAATGGAGTGTTTAAAGAGATCATTAAAAACCAAACTGATTGGGCGCCTGGGTGGCTCAGTTGGTTGAGCAACTGCCTTCGGCTCAGGTCATGGTCCTGGAGTCCCGGGATCGAGTCCCACATCGGGCTCCCTGCTCAGCAGGGAGTCTGCTTCTTCCTCTGACCCTCCCCCCTCTCATGTGCTCTCTCTCTCTCTCAAATAAATAAATAAAATCTTTAAAAAAACAAAAAAAAAAACAAACTGATTTCGGCATGCTATCTTGGTCTCATACTCCCATGACCATTCATCAGAGGTGTCTGCAGAATGAGAAACACTTGCCTCCTATAGGGAAGAGGTAATTATCTCCTATCAACTAGAACCTCATTCAATGGACTATAAACAGCTGGTGGTACAGAACTATCATCCTCATTTAAAATGGAAATAACTATGGTTTCTGAGTTCCTTCCATTTCCACATATTCATTAGATTTTTATTCAACAAAAGTTATATTTAAACTATGATTTGGTCATAGTTCAGCTCCACATACTGTAACAAGTACCTGCCACCTGCTTTAGTTTATTTTTTCTTCTTGGCCAAGTGCTTTTACTTATAGTGCAAATTTGATCCTCTATGTGCTGATTTTTCTGGTTCTGTGTTAGAGAATTTCACTTGTAAATCATGCTAATGATTTAAAACCATGTTGGCTTTTTTAATCTTTTAGACCATAGCAAAACAGCATTTCAGTTGGACCTTACTTTCAGTTTCAAATATTGCTATTTAACAGATGCTTACTTCCATGCTTTTCTTTTTTTTTCCACTGAAAAAGAAAAAGTGGTTTTTAATATTCAAGAAGATGAGCAAAATCTCAGTAGGCAAAAAGATATTTCAGAAAAATATTTTTCTTTAATTATTTAATGTATTCATGATCATTTTTGCCATCTAGTCCAAAAGTTCTCTGAAGTCAGGAACTATATTTTTAACATATTATTTGTTAGAGATTAACAATGGCAGTCACTCACTCTTTACCTTCTTTGGATAGAAGTGAATAAGAGTCCTTTCTCCCATTGCAACAAAATTAAACACATACAGGTAAGGAATGCTTTCTCTGACTGGAGCTTTTATTCCCAGCTTAGAAAAGTACAACAGCTACTTTAAAAAGAATGATTTGTTACTGGTTTAACTAAATGGATTAGGGAGTTTAATGAGATGAGGTGAGCTATTTATACACATTTTTAAGAGTGATTACATTTTTTCCTGTTTTAACTTTTCTTGGTATTCAAATGTATTGGTGTTCCCAAATCATTACTTTAAGTGAAATATTGTAAAAAGGCTATTTAATTAACTTAAATTCTGAGAGACTTCAACAGGCTTAGAAACTGAGTAGTATACTAGAAAATAAATCTGTAAAGGGAGATAAGGAAAAAAATCTTTGACCCTTAATACCTGTATTCTACATAAAAATAAGCAGTGCATATAACTTAATGGAGATTTTAGAAGGCTCTCCTTGTTTGGCCTATCAGGCAGCAGTTATATAAAGAATGATAGGGGCGCCTGGGTGGCTCAGTTGGTTAAGCGACTGCCTTCAGCTCAGGTCATGATCCTGGAGTCCCTGGATCGAGTCCCGCATTGGGCTCCCTGCTCGGCAGGGAGTCTGCTTCTCCCTCTGACCCTCCCCCCTCTCATGTACTCTCTCTCATTCTCTCTCTCTCAAATAAATAAATAAAATCTTAAAAAAAAAAAAAAAAGAATGATAATAATTTGTAGCTAACTAGGAAATAATAGGGAAAAGATACAATAAAAGAAAATGTTTTTAATAGTTTAAATCTGTTCAGGAGATTTTAGTCATTTAAATACCTTATTGTGTTCCCAATAAATAATTCAGATGATTTTATAATTACTTTAGTGATTGGTTTGGACAGTTGAAAACATTTTCAGTTTTACTAAATTTTTACTCATTCTGATGAAATTTATTATCAGTTCTTACTATTACCAACAAGCAGTTTTCTAAACTCTAATTTATTTAAGGTATAGTGCAAGACCTGGTCAAAGAAAACAACCTAGATTAAACCCTTGTCTTAATCCATAATCGGTTTCATTTTAAATCTAAGCCTTTTTGCAACTCTCCAATGCTTTGAATTGAGCAAATATCATTATGTCTCATGAAAATCCTGCTTGACTTAGTCATATAGCTCAGTCAAGTTTAGTCTCAATGTTAGATATTCATTCATTTATTCTATACCATGGTTTTATTTGGGAGAAGCAATTTCATAAAAGTTACTAGAAAGTAAAAAAATACATATGCCAACTAGACTTCAGTGAGACAAAGTTCCATGGTTGTCTTAGTTAAAATTATTTTCTCTTTAGAGTTGAAGGAGTTATGGAGTGGTATAAAAAGGCTAAACTGACTAAAAGATTATAATAATCTTATTGAAGACAACTTTGGGTATCCTGTTAGGCTCAAGTAGAATGGAGCAAGTAATTCTCTTAAGGTCTTAGTCTTCTCTATGTTTACCTGAAAGGTTCTGTATCCATAAAGTAAACATAATATTGGGTTGTTTTAAATACCATTTTGTGCTGGTCTTTACTAGTGTGCTATGTAAATCATAACATATTGAGAAAGTGCTGTTTTTTATATTTTGAAATCTAATTTCGGATATCAACTCCAGGCGTGTTTTAAAAACTACACATTGCTGATATTTTCATCACGAGTCCACATTTTGCCATAATATAAGTCATTTTTCTAGACTTTTGATTGACATGGAAGAGATTCTGTTTTCATTACTGTTATTATAATTTACTTTGTGGCTTCTAATCAGCTCATATTAAATTCTAATCAGCTCATATTAAACAAACAATGGAAGAGATCACAAATGCCTTAGTTTCTTGTTTGGAACAGTTTGAAGTTGGCAACCACAGTGGTGAGAGCTGCTAGTTAGGGCATATAGCTTATGGCAAAAGGCATTTCCCAGTTTACTTGAAATTATCTGTCTTCTGGTTCAGGATAATTTTTTTTCTACCTAGACCCAAAGTTGACTATTTAAGCAATATTGAGCCCATTTTCAGTGTAATCTAAGTAAAGCATATAAAAAATAACAATAGTAAAAGATGTTTTTGGGGGGCATTGCTTGTTTATGTTGTGAATAGGACTTTACTAACCTACCAGTTTCCAGTAAATTTTCCTTGTTTTCATAGAAAAGTAAAAGATGTGCAAATGGAGAACAAGTATTTTACTTTTTAAAGGAAGATAGAGATTTGTTTTTTCCATTCAAAAACAACAGACTGGCTAGAGATACAGCAATTTCTCTTTTCCTCTGTGGATTCCAGCAATTGTAGGTGGTCTACAAAATGGAAAGTGTCCAGGTCACACTAGGAATGCATTGTTGAGGCTATTAAACATGTATTTCAGATTGTGAAGAGACCCTAACTCCAACACAGGATGTAGACACATTTTTCTTTGACAGGACAAATTCTTTAAAATAGATTTAAGGCTAGAATATAACTATAAACTTCATTTGTCTGTTGGTGTACTGATCATGAGATCAAACCCATCATGAGGTGTCCTCAGAGTTGTGAAGTGTGTTCTAATGAGTGATTCAGACAATAATTACATTTCTGCCCAACAAGGATGAAAACCAAAATAAAGTCA